TTCACAAAATATTAGAAATTGGGTGAGACTATTGATGAATATATTATATATAAATTATACTATAAAATCTTATAAAATTTATTTTATATAATAATTTGTCAAAGTTTGTATTTTTTTAATACCAAAAAATTTTGTTTAAGTGGAAAAAGTCACAACTGAATATCATCTTATTTTGACATATGCCTTTAAAAAATTATTATTTTAGTTGAATATACTAAAATTAAATTTTGATTAAAAATCACAAAACTTTTTTATGAGAAAAAAAATCTTTTAAATTTTTTAAAAATTTTAATCCAATACATTTATTAATTTGTTATCAGGGCCGGATATTCAATAAAGCAATTAAGGCTAATGTCTAGAGCCTCCAAACTTATAAGGCCTCCAAATTCTTTTAATAGTAATATTTTTTATATAAATTAATTTTTAAAAAATTAATAATATTTTAGATAAGGCTCAATATTTTATAAGACACATATCTTATATTTTTTGTATCTCTTATTTTTTTATTATTAAAATTACTTAAAAGACCATAATCCATTTATTAGTTTTTATAAATGAAAAGTCACTCAACACTCAACAGTCACTACTACTTACTTTTGTCTTCTGTAGATGACAGATTTTCAACCCCTTTATTTCCTCTCTAGTAGGGGTGGCAAAATGGGCCGTGGCCCGCGGGCTGGCCCGCTGGCCCGTCAATTTTTGGCGGGCCGGACCCCTTATTTCAGCCCGCCAACCCGCCAAGCCCGCCAACCCGGCGGGCCAAATAGCGGGCTGGCCCGTCACAACCCGCCAGCCCGCATAAGTGAGACTAGTGCAATGTATCCCTCGTCTAAGCCCTTGTGCATTTTAGAAGATGGTGTTGTTCTCATGAAAAACACATATGGCAAATTAGTTATGTATAATCTGAATGATGGTAGGTTGGATTATCTTAGGATTAAGGGGGAACTTGGGTTTAATATGCATATTTACCATGAAAGTTTGGTTTCCCCACAATGTTAAAACCGCATTTGTGGATTCCATCCTGTTGTACTTCTATGAGATCTGATTAAAGGAAGACTACTGTTTGTTTCAGAATTTTTGGGCACTGTGTTAATTTGAATAACAAAATATGGGGTGTCTTTGGTACGGATTCTTTAGGTGAAACCTTACTGTACCATCTCATATATTGTTATATACTAGTGATGATTAAATTGAAAAGCACTTTTTCTTAAGAATTCAATTAATATTATAGCGTTCTTTCTATTCTGTTCAGAAAATGTATTATGCTATCTTGACTTGGAAGACATTTGCATTATATGTGTTGTGTTTTTACATGCATAAACACTGAAAAATAAAGCAACTTAGTGCTGCAATAGTGAACTATTTGTCTCTGATATGTGATGGCCAACAGACGAGGGATACATTGCACTAGTCTCACGCCCAACTTGTTTTTAATGATAGCTGGAATCAAAGGAAACATGGACTATTTTTTTGCAAATTATTTTTTGGGTATGCGGGCTGGCCCGCCGGCCCGCCAACCCATCCTTAGGCGGGGCGGGCCAGCATTTTCAGCCCGTTTTTCATTGGCGGGCCAGCCCGGCCCGGCCCGTTTTTGGCGGGCCATTGGCGGGGCGGGCCAAAACGGGGCGGGCTGGCCCGTTTTGCCACCCATACTCTCTAGTCTATCTCTTTCTCATTCTTTGTCCATTCTCATTCAATCATTCTCAATTCCTTTTTCTCGTCTAGTTTAAGAGCTTGATTAGGAGTAATACGATCTTACTCTACCTTTTTTCTTTGTTGATTCATACTCTATAAGATCCTTTAAACTACTAAGTTAGTATAATTCTAGGTACTGGTTCAATAACATCAACACATTTTCTTAGTTATCACCATTGACAATCCATTCTAGTGCACTTCTTGCATGATATTGCATCGTGAATTTGTCATGGGTCATCCCGGGAATCATTACCATATATTCCCCTTCATTGAAATTGAAGTTTGTCATCATGACAAGATTTCTTATTTCCATGATTTTCATGCGTGTCTTTGAAAAGCTAGGATCAAACCCTTCTAAAATATTATAAATTAATTATTAATGCATGTGAAAAAACAATTTAGTGTAGTACTTTTATTTACAAATTACAATTTTTAGATCTCATTTTTTTATTATTTATCATTATATGTGCACGCAAAGTGATTGTCACTACGGTTTGGGTTTTGGATACTCATAGCTACGACAGTGCATAGCTATAGTTTAAAGAAATTTTCATTCACAGATATAATTTTTCACTTTTCAGGTTTTATTGTTTCATTGTTATCTTCTTTTAATTTTAAAAATTATTTTTTCTTATTATTTTATTTTAGTTAATCAATAAAATATGTCAAATAGAAAGTATGTATCTAGTTTTGAAAAGATTTTGAGTTTTGAGGATCATTCTGATATTGATGATCTTGATTTGTTTTCAGAATTAGTTATTGAAAAAATTCTAACAAATGAAATTAACACACCATTACAAATATTGAACTATATAAAAAGATCATGTTCTTTTCCAAATACATACATTGCTTATAGAATATTATTAACATTACTTGTAACTGTTGCGACTGCTGAAAGAAGTCTTTTAAAATTAAAATTGATTAAATTATATTTAAGATCAATTATGCTACAAGATAGATTGAATGTGTTAACTATATTATCTATTGAGAGTGAGATGTTAGAATTACTTGATTATAAAATTTTAATAAATAATTTTACAACTCAAAAAGCCAGAAAAATAACATAAAAATTATTAGACTATATTAACATAGGTCCTTATCTTAATTTTTGCCTAAAGTCCCGGAATTCCTAGATACGACCCTATTTGTTATTACTTATATTTTTAATGAGCAACTTAAATTATATTATTTTATTATCATTTTATTTTATTTTTTATCCATATAATATGAGTTTTATTATTTTGATCTTTATAGTTTTTTATTTTAGTTTTTATTTTTACTTTAGTCTTAGTAACATATTAATTATGTTTGGTTTTGTCATTGTAATATAATTATGATTTGTTTTTATGTTTTGTTTGAATGATTAAAGATTTTGAGAGTAAAAAATGCTGCAGAAAGTAAAAGAGAAGAATGAAGATAGAATGAGTAAAACATCAATACACTTTAACTTGCTTGAAAGTAAGAAAGAAATATAAGAGAAAGGAAAATGGATATATTTTATAAAGGCATATTTATATTTGATGACATATTAATATAATTTAAAATAAAAAAATAAAAAAATAAATGTCATTCAATTTCTAAATAGGTTTCACAATATTTTTCTTCCTTCTCTCATAAACTTTTATCACATGAGAAAATAATTTTTAATATTAAGTTTTGGCAAACTTTATCCTTTTTTTCTCACTTATCTTCTCTACGGAATAAATGAGAAATTTCATTCTCTCTTTCTCTTATTTTCCACTTATTTCTTTCTCCCCGAAAACAATAAAATAATTTGTTAGTTTCTATATTTTTTTTCCAAAAGATTAACCAAAAATATAAAGAACATTATAGGAATAAAAATAAAAATAAATATATTACAAAGATTAAAAACTAAATAACAAGGAAAAGAAAATACTTAAATGTGTTTTTTCGTCTCAATTATAATTATTGTACAGTTTTAATATCTCAAATTTTAATTGAGTAAGTTTAGTTTCTTAAGTATTGCAATTGTACATTTGATCCTTAATTTTTAATTAAGTAATTTTAGTAAGTACTACAATTATGTGATTTTAGTTTCTCAAGTATTGTAATTATACAAATTTTTACATGTTCAAGTTATATATTAGTAATTTTAGTAATAATAAATATATCATTTAACACATGAATGAAAATGATAATATATGTAACTTAAATAGGTCAAAAATTATATAATGGTGATACTTGAGAAAATAAAATTGTTTAATTAAAAGTTGATGACCAAAATTACACAATTATAATATTTAAGAGACTAAAATTTCTTAATTAGAACCTTACATAATGTTTGATTGGAGGGCACAGATTTTTAAAAAGGTTTCTTGTTTGGTTCAATTTTTAAAGAGAAGGATAGCAAAATCACTCTTAATCCAATTTTAATTTTCTCTTGATATTAATAAAATTTGGAGGAAAGAGAAATTTTTAAAAAATATGTCAATATAATATCTAAAATATTTTTATTTATATTATTAAATTTAAAATTATAAAGATATAAAAGTAAACTTATTTTTAAAATCTCTCACATCTAAGTTATTTTCTA